CTCCGCTGGCCGGCCCCCCACCAGCTCCTCCGCCCATTGGTCGTCCGGCGTTCGGAGGCCCGCCCCCATATTTGAAAGCGTCTTCCGGGGGCGGGTGGAAGACTGCGACGCGTCCCGGCGTCATTCTAAGAGCCCCGCCCACTCCCAGCATTCAGTGCGGCGCCCTGGCCGCCATCGTTTGAATTTGAAAACACATTTCGCCGTGGTGCTCGCAGGTCGAGGGGGCCAGGCCGCGCTTCCTCGCCGGTGAGGCGCTGGCCCAGGTGAGGGTGCGAAGAAGGAGGGGGGCGCCTGCGCACACGCCAGGCCCGACGCGGAGGAACGGCTCTGGCGATCAGAGCACCCGCTTAGGAGGCTCGGTACGCCCCTGAGCGGACGCTCGGGAACTGGGTGCGCGATGGAGGGTTGCGCCTGAGTACCAGGGTTTAAATTTCGTCCCCCCCTCTTGTTAGCTGAATGACGCAAGGTGACGTATTTAATCTTTCTGGGCCTCCGTCTCCTTATTGTTAAGTGGGGGTAATAATAATAGTACCTACTCTTCAGGTTCTTGTGAAGGTAAAGTGACATAGGTGAAGTTGTTAGAAACAGGGCCGGTATATCGTAGGCACTAAGTGTTTGCAGGCATTAATATTTTCATTGTTGCCGCTGTTGTCGAGGCGTGGGCCTCTATTGCCAACCCCTTTTTCCTGGGTCAGCGAGGTGAGCACTTTGCGTGGCATGTGACGTGCCCTCTTTGGCGGGGGTGGGGGAGGCCCTGTCGCGGTCCCCTCTGCACTTGTTTTCAGGCCGGTGCCTGGGGCTTGTCCTTTTGGGCTTTGCGGTGCCGAGCGGAAGGGGGTGTGTGCGGCGAGTTGCAGTGATTGCTGCCTGTCATCCGCCAGGTTAGAAAGTTTCGGTTTCCCCGATCACATTCCACCTCCTGCCCCCGAGATTCCTGCCTGCCATGATTCTCTAATAATATTCCTTGCCGAAGGACTAGTTAACGGAGTTCCTGGCCTGAAGTTATCCTTGCTTAACGTGATCACATTCAGGTTTGTTTTTGTTTATAAAACAAGGCAGCGCTCCGGTGGCGTGGTTGAGCGTCGACCTGTGAGCCGGGAGGTCGCAGTTCGATTCCGGATCAGGGCACATGGGATGCGCAAAGCAGTTAGGCTCTCATGGCTAGAAATAAGCTTATGGAGCTATGTAAAAAGAAGATGGATGGGTAGAAATTTTGAGGCTGGCACCTCATTGGGTTTTTGCACTAACGTGCCTGGCCTGCTATGTGGATCAGTGGACAGGGACCATATTTGATTCATTGATATATCACCTCTGGGTGCCCAGGACTGTTTTCCTGAGCCGGAACCATAGTTTGGGAGTCCCTGACCTGGATATTTCATAATGTTGTCAAAAGAACAGCAGGGAGCTCTCTTTTTACTCTGGTATTATGCACCCAGTAGATTCTCGGTAAATGCTTGAATGTTAATATTTTTTTCAGTTAAGGTTATCCCTGATTATAAGTTTAGTGACTTGATGTTTCATTTAGTTGTAATAGTTTACTGACGCATGGAATGATGCATTGACTGATGTGTCTGGTACTGTTTTGAATATGTCCACATACTTTATTTCCACATACTTTATTTCCATTTTCATTTGCATTATTTGGAAGAATTCAGTTGAAACGAATTGTCCAGGTAACTAAGTTGAATGCCTAAATGCCAAAACGTTACAAAGTCTGTAAGTAACGTTCTTTAGAAGACACTAAATAACTAAAATAACTCAAGGTTCTAATATACGCCACCCTTACTATTTGATTTCTGAGAGGATTTCAGGCAGAAATAGAAATGTTTTATACTGTCTGACCTTTACTAATGAAATCTCCTTGGATGAATTTATCCATAGGTGGATCATATGAATAATAGTTGAAGGCTGTTGTATTTGATTCAGAATCTGTAAGTAATTTGGTCTTTTGTCTTTTCCATGGGTCTTCATGTTATAGAGCAGGGGTGGGAAACCTTTTTTCTGCCAAAGGCCATTTGGATATTTACAACATCATTGGAGGGCCATCCGAAATTATCAGCTTAAAAATAAGCCTGCTATATTTGGTCAAACACTTAATTAACTCACCCCTAGTACCTTGGCAGAGCCAGACCAAATGATTTCAGGGGCCTTATATGGCCTGCAAGCTGGACGATCCCCACCCCTGTTATAGATGAAGCATTTAATGTTTTCCTTCTCTGGAAATGTAGTTATATGGGGGAAGTATGGGCTGGACTCAGACTTTTTAAACTCCATAGTCTTAAATGGTGCTTTATTACAGATGCCTAAAGAAGTTGTTATTCTTGCAGAATGGAATCTAATGTAAATAAGGATGGGGTGCCTAGACCATCTTATGTTTTTAGTGCTGACCCAATTGCAAGGCCTTCGGAAATAAATGTTGAAAGCATTAAGCTGGATCTCTCTCGTGAATTTTCCTTAGTTGCTTCAAGCACTGAGGTAAGTACAAGAAAAATATTATGTTATCATAATTGAGTGGAAATATATGTGGTGCACACAAACTTGCAAACAGGTACGACTAGAGCAGACGTTGTGGTTTAGGGCAACCTTCTAAAGAGGACCAAAGTTTTGCCATCTTAAGATGAGCCTTTTGGAATATTGATTTTAAGTTGGTTATTAAAAAACAATGACTCAGAAAGAATCTTGAACCTCCCCCTTTCTTGCCTAAGGTAATTTGGATGGAAAGGCCTGCTTCAGGAGGGGAATCTTAGCAAGTTTACCTTAAGGATTTTCACCTTAGCCTAATTTGAATTAAGTATGGTGGATAGGAAAGATCCAAGCTAGACCCTTCCATGTTTCTGGGTTACTTGGCAGGTATTTGTTTGCTTGATTCCCCTTCAGAATCCCTGCCCCTCACCCCTTTCTTCTTTTTCCATGATGGCATATAAGCTTGAATTGCCCTGTGCTCTTTGGGATTTTCATATTATTATGGACCTTCAAATGTATATACGTATAATAGGCTTTGGACAGTTTCAACTGTCAGTCTGTCTTTGTTAATTTGATTTTTAGCCCAGCTAGCTGGGAAGAAAATTATTTTTTTTAGCCCTCACACTTCTTATCTCAGTAATTTTTTCACAATGCCTTAAATATAGAACAGTTACTTTTTTTAGTAATAGGTCCACTATGCTCCTAGGAATTGCAGGCCTTACTTTAATAAAAATTACAGGTTTTTAAAAGTTAAAATAATTCAGTAGTGTTTAAAAAATAAAAGTCCTACTTACTACCACTGTAATGTTTGGTTTGTGTCTTTGTAGACTTTTTGAGTCAGTCCATTTATATTCTATTTGTTACCTTTCAGACTGTTAATTTTGATGCTTTAGAGAGATGTACTAACCCGTTCTGGGTAGTATGGGTATAGACTATCAAGAATGATGGAAGGGAAAGGGGCATATAGGAACATAGATAAATGAACAATGCTTATTTAATACTATCATATGTCAGGTTCTTTCACTTTGACTCATCCTATATAATAAAAGGCTAATGTGCAAATCGACCAAAGGACAGAATGACTGGTCGCTATGACGCACACTGACCACCAAGGGGCAGATGCTCAATGCAGGAGCTGCCCCCTGGTGGTCAGTGAGCTCCCACAGGGGGAGCCCCACTCAGCCAGAAGGATGTCTGACTGCCAGCTTAGGCCCAACATCCCCTGAGGGCTCCCGGACTTGGAGAGGGCGCAGGCCAGGCCGAGAGACCCACCCCCACCCCCCGTGCCTGAATTTTGTGCACCGTGCCTCTAGTTTAATCATAAAGAAAGAAAGGAGAAAAGGTAAGAAGGGACACATGTTTCTTGGTTTATAATGAAGTCATACATTATGTAGTTTTTTGTGTGGCCTTTTACTTAACACAAGGGTCAATAAACAATGGCCTTTTCTTGTGTGTGTATTGCCTGTATTTGTAGTACTCACAAGCTAAGGATGGTTTTTACACTTTTAAATGGTTGAAGAAAAATCACAAAAAGAATGTTTTCTGATGTGAAAATTATGTGAAATTTAAACTTCACTGTCTATAAATAAATAGCCATACTCATTTATTTATTTTCTAGGTCTGTTTTGCACTATAGTAGCAGAGTCGAGTAGTTGTGGCCATCATAATAGGGCCTGTAGAGCCAAAAATATTAACTATCTGGCTCATTACAGAAAAAAATTTGCTGACCCCTCACTTAGCATGGTGTGTTTGAGACTCATCATGCATCATGTATCAGTAGCTTGTTAGTTTTTATTGCTAAGTAGTAGTCCATTGTGCAGATATGCCACATATCTTTCCATTTACAATTCGATGCACTTTGGATGGTTTCCAGTTGGGGCCCTTACAAATAATGCTGTTGTGAACATTCATGTGGAAGCCTTTCTGTGAACTTATGCTTTCTTTTCTTTTGGTTAAATACCTAGGAATATAAGTACATATTTAACTTCATAAGAAAGTGCTAAATTGTTTTCCAAAGTGGCTCTACCAGTAGCAGCAGTACAGGTTTCAGCTTCTCCAACTTCTTTGCCATCGCTTGGTAATTTAAAAAAAAAATACATTTTTATTGATTTCAGAGAGGGAGAGAGATATAAACATCAATAATGAGAACCATTGATTGGCTGCCTCCTGCAAGCCCCCTACTGGAGATGGAGCCTGCAACCTGGGCATGTGCCCCGATCAGGAATCGAACTGTGGACTCCTGGTTCATAGGTCGATGCTCAACCATTGAGCCGCACCAGCAGGGCAACGCTTGGTAATTTTGTGAGTGTGTAATAGTACTTTATTATGGTTCTATTTTGCATTTCCCTAATGAGCACTTTTCAAGTATTTGTTGGTCATCTCTGTACCTTCTTTTGCAAAATGTTTCTTCAAGTCATTTCCACATTTAAAAATTAGGTTGTTTGTCTTATATCTGAGAGAATTTTACATATATATTGTGTATACATATCCTTTGTCAGATTAATGGTGTCTTCATTAGCAGAGGTTTATTTTCATCTAATAATGGTTCTAAATTTTGTTTTAATTGTTATATTTTGTTATCTATCTAGTTTTTTTTATGATAGCACTTTTTATTTTATTTTTTATTTTTTTGTTAATCCTCACCTGAGGACACCTTTCCATTGATATTTAGAGAGTGGAAAGGAGGATGGAGAGACAGAGAGAGAGAGAGAAAGAGAAACATTGATGTGAGAGAGACACATAAATTGGTTGCCCCCTGCATGTGCCCCAACCAGGGATGGTGATCAAGACTGCAACCGGGTTTTAGGCCCTTGACCAGAATTGAATCCAGGACCCTTCAGTTTTCAGGCCCACGCTCTATCCACTGAGCCAAACCAGCTAGGGCTTGAACTAGTTTTTGTGTATAGTTGATATAGAGGTTCAGGCTGGATTATTTATTTATTTTAACTTCCATTTATTTAATTATTTCAGCATTATTTTTTCCTGTTAATTGTTTTAAGTGCCTTTATTGACAATCAAATGACTATGTGTGGATCTATTTCTGGATTATTCTCTTCAATTGACCTATTTGTCTATCCTTACAGCTATACTTCACTATCTATTTTTGTAGTTTTATAATAATTCTTTTTTTTTTAATCCTTACCTGAGGAGTGAGGATATTTTTTCCATTGATTTTCAGAGAGTGGAAGGGAGTGGATTGAGGGAGAGGGAGAGAGAGAGAGATAGGAGAGAGAGAGAAAAAAACATCAACTGTTTATGTTGGTACTGAACCTGCAACTGAGGTATGTGCCCTTGACCAGGAGTTGAACCCACAACCCTATGGTCTATAAGCTGAGGCTCTAAGCACTGAGCAACCCACTGCAAGTGTTTTTTTTTTTTTTTAATTGATTTCAGAGAGAAAGGGAGAGGGAGAGAGAAATAGAAACATCAATGATGAGAGAGAATCACTGATCTGCTGCCTCCCTCATGACCCCCACTGGTGATCGAGCCTGCAACCAGGGCATGTGCCTCTGACCAGAATTGAACCAGGGACCTTTTAGTCCACAGGCTGAGGCTCTAACCACTGAGAAAAACCATCTAGGGCAGTGGTTCTCAACCTTCTGGCCCTTTAAATACAGTTCCTCATCTTGTGACCCAACCATAAAATTATTTTCGTTGCTACTTCATAACTGTAATGTTGCTACTGTTATGAATCGTAATGTAAATATCTGATATGCAGGATGGTCTTAGGCAACCCCTGTGAAAGGGTCATTCGACCGCCAAATGGGTCGCGACCCACAGGTTGAGAACCGCTGATCTAGGGCATTTTTGACATATGCATATATTCATAAGACCATCACTACAATCAAATAGTGAATATCTCTATTACCCCTAAAAGTTTTCTTGCACTTCCTTCCAATTCCTTCCTCATACCATACATCCAAGTTACTACTGATTAGTGTTCTGTCTACATCAGCGATTCTCAACCTGTGGGTCACGACCCCTTTGGGGGTCGAATGACCCTTTCACAGGGGGCGCCTAAGACCATCGGCAAACTCATAAATAATTAATATTGTTTTTGTGATTAATCACTATGCTTTACTTATGTTCAATTTGTAACAATGAAAATACATCCTGCATATCAGATATTTACATTACGATTCATAACAGTAGCAAAATTACAGTTATGAAGTAGCAACGAAAATAATTTTATGGTAGGGGGTCACCACAACATGAGGAACTGTATTAAAGGGTCGAGGCATTAGGAAGGTTGAGAACCACTGGTCTACATATTAGTTTGTGCTTTCTAGAATTTTATATAAATGGAATCAAAGTTATGTGCTCTTTTATTTTTTGGTTGGGTTCTGGTTTCATTCTCTTAGCATAATTATTTTGAGTTTCATGCATATTGTGTGTAAAAGAAAGTGTCCATGGTATGGATATTCCACAATTTGTTTATCCATTCACTTGCTGTTTACGTTGTTTGGCTGTTGAACAAAGCTCCTGTGTACTTTTGTGTACAAACCTTTGTATGGACATAATAATTGCATTTTAAAAATGAGGTAGGCTCATTTCTTCCCTGAAGGAAACAGTAAAGAGGATGCTATATAGCAGAAATATTCTAAATTCATGATGGAATTGAGCATTTGGTTTGATAGGGGATTCTGGTTATTTGTGATTTATTCTAGAGTTCTGTGTTTTAGACTCTGTTATTAGTAAGAAAGGTTAGGATTTTATGGAAAAAATGGCTTGTTGTAAACTTCAAGCATAAATATAGAAGGTAGAGGAAGTTTTGCAGTATTGTTTTTTTTAAGATTTGATTTTTGTATATATAAAATGGTCAAAAATGAGAATCATTGTCTGCTTAGAGATTTTGTATAATCTCAGATTGATTGTTATATAACAGTCACTTTAAAGAAGGATAATCTCTGAAGAGTCACGTTTTGTATTTTTTAAATACGATTATTTTGTTCTTCATTTATAGGCAAACAGTTTGGAATCCAAAGATTATCTTCAGGTTTGTCTTCGAATAAGACCATTCACACAGTCAGAAAAAGAACATGAGTCTGAGGTTTGTGTTGCATTATATCTTCATTAAATGGGCAAAATATAATTGTTTTTATTATTGTTTTTATTGTGGGATTATTTTTATTTGTTTGTTCTAGGGCTGTGTGTATATGCTGGACTCACAGACTGTTCTGCTGAAAGATCCTCAAAGTATCCTTGCTCGGTTAAGTGAGAAAAGCTCTGGGCAGGTGGCACAGAAATTCAGTTTTTCTAAGGTAAATACTCATATGAATCTGAAAATTTTTCTTTTTTAAAAATATTTTTATTGATTTCAGAGAGGGAGAGAGAGAGAGAGAAACATCAATGATGAGAGAGAATCATGAATTGGCTGCCCGGGAATCAAACCCAGGACCCTTCAGTCTGCAGGCCGATGCTCTATCCACTGAGCCAAACCGGCTAGGGCTGAAGGCAAAGATACTTGTCTTAGGTTAAATTGCTACATATTTGTATATAATTAGCTATATTTATCTTCTGCTTATGGAACTTAGATCTTAGGCACTAGTATTTTTTTCTCAAGGGTAGGACTCAAATTCCAGGTCTGTAAATTTATATGTGAATAAATCACAGTTTAGTTTTTATAATAAATTTTTCTTAAAAAAATTTTTTTCCCGTCCCCCCGCCCTCCCCCCCAATTCAGATGAAAACTTGTTCGGTTGGGTCAGAATTTTATCTTGAAAACTTCATCAGAGTAGGTAAACTATCAAGTTTACTTGTGAGAGTTAGGGATATGGCACCTATTTTAAGGATGAATCATAAAATGATTTAACATTTTTAAACATGAGAGATTTACAAAAAGAAATAAATTTAAACATTTATCTCTTTTTTGGGGGGTTCTATTTCTCCTCTTCAGGATTTTCATATACACGGAGGTAGGGTAGAACTCATTGTGAATATTAACTTGAATTTTCTAAAAAGATTTGTTTTTAAAAATGCTTATTTAGGTTTTTGGTCCAGAAACTACACAGAAGGAATTCTTCCAGGGTTGCATTATGGAGCCAGTAAAAGACTTTTTGAAAGGACAAAGTCGGCTGATTTTTACTTATGGGCTAACTAATTCAGGAAAAACATATACATTTCAAGGTAAATTGCTTTGTTGCTTTTTTTTGTTGTTAGAAAAAATGAAGTACTAATATCCACTCATAATACTTGCATGTAATTATGTTTCCATTACCTAGTACATTTGCTCCATTTTTAATAGTAATGAATAATTGAATGTATACTGCTGATGGCTTTTAATTCACATTGAGTTAAGTCATTTATGAAACTACTTTACCCATATGATAGAGAATTAGATAAAAATTCAGAAAAAACGATTGATGTGACATAGTGAATTGAGCATGGATAACCAGGGAACGACTTTGTTTCATTTTACTATTATACTTTGTGATTATGGGTGATTGCAAATCTATGGCATAATCTGAATGTGAAATTTCAGGTTTTGCATCAAAATAGTAATTGATAAAATGTCTATTATACAGTGAACCAAAGTGATAAACTGAGTAATTCTTCACCTTCTCTCACATTTGTCTTAGCTGTTTACTTTTGTCTATGGTGGTATAAAAGGAGCATTGGTAGTCCAGGGACGTTCTTGCTTTCTTAACTCTGAGGGAGTATAAAACAAAAATTCTTTTCACAGGCACAGAAGAAAATACTGGCATTCTGCCTCGAGCTTTGAGTGTATTATTTGATAGTCTTCAGGGAAGACTATATACAAAAATGAACCTTAAACCACATAGATCCAGAGAATATTTACGGTTATCACCAGACCAAGAGAAAAAAGAAATTGCTAGTAAAAGTGCATTGCTTCGGCAAGTGAAAGAGGTATGGAAGTATTTTAGTATGTAAATATATCAAAACCATGACCTATTTATAAGCTCTTTAGTTTGTTTCAGCCTATATTGGAATATTTATGGTGGTGGTAGTTGTCTTTTTGAGAAAAGTACTAAAAGCTTGTTTGAAGACATCTCTTCTTTTTCTATTTTGTACATACAGCAGAAATGTTTAAACAAAACAAATGTAAATGGTTCTGAAATCTTTCTTGGTTGTTGTAGAAACACATTGTACTTACTATGCAATGATTTAAAAAATGTTTTATTTGTAAAAGTAATATATAATATGAAAAAAAAGTGAAAATTTCTTATAATTTCATTTTTGAAGAAAAAAACTACCATTAACAGATTGGAAAGTATCCTTTATGATCTTTTTCTCTCTATTACAAAAATCTATAAACAGCTTTCTATACAGGGATGGGCAAAAGTAAGTTTACCGTTGGGAGTATGCGAAACAGAGTTTATTCTTGTATTAATTATTTTATTATTTATTTGTATTACAATGTTAAACTTACTTTGCATATATATATATATACACACAAAAAAAGTCATATATATGGTTGCATATATCTTTACAGGTAGGATATAGTCTTGTGTGAACAAAAATGAGATTTTACTATACATACTTTCTATAACTTGCTCATTTAATACATTTTAAGTCTCTTACTATCTTAATTCTTGTGTCTCTTACCTATTAGGTTATGTTTTGATCTCTTTTATTTTTTGTCTATTTCACCTCTGCCTTCTGAATTTTATATTTTCAGAAATTTATCTTATTATGATTATTAAAAATTACTGACAGCTTTTATAAATATTATCAAAATATGGTGGGGATTTTCTTTTTTAAGATATTTAGAAATCAGGGTGTCAAGGTAGTAAAAAGTTGTTGATTAGCCGAAACCGGTTTGGCTCAGTGGATAGAGCATCGGCCTGCGGACTGAACGGTCCCAGGTTCGATTCCGGTCAAGGGCATGTACCTGGGTTGCGGGCACATCCCCAGTAGGAGATGTGCAGGAGGCAGCTGATCGATGTTTCTCTCTCATCGATGTTTCTAACTCTCTATCTCTCTCCCTTCCTCTCTGTAAAAAATCAATAAAATATATATATATATATATATATAAAAGTTGTTGATTAGTGGAGTTCAGAGTTCATGATGATGGTCTGTGAAAGTAAAATAGTATATTAACAGAAATCATGGAGATGGTTAGGAAATTTCATAGATAATAGAGAAAATTAGTCATTCATAGTGAAAAAAATTTTCCTAAGTTATTTCTATTTAAAACAAAATAGGATTTTGCCTATAAAATTAAAAATGTTAAAAAATGAGTTGCTTTCATATACTGATTATAAAGTGTGTTTCTAGAAAGCAATTTGGCAATACTGTTCAGAGTGAGAACTTAAATTTTTTTTATTACTTCTACCAATTAAGACTTAGGTATATACCTAAGGAAATGATTAGCATAAAGAAGGAAAAAAATTAAGATGTCTTGTTACTTTTAATGACAAAGCTTTGTAAGTAGTCTAAATGTTCAATAATAGAATAATTAAGTCATAAAACATTCAGTTATGTGGCCACCAAATGTTTACAAATAAATTTAATTATAGAGATAAAAAACTTACAATGTAATAAGTATGGAGAAAATAATAGATGGGAATATATTGAAATATTAAGAATAATTGCCTCTGAGTGGCAGGGATTATATATGATGATGTCTTTTTTAATACTTGTATATAGTTTCCCAGATTTCTTTTGTGAGAATGTATTATTTAACTAGGAAAAAAGTACCTGGCCATCATGGCTCAGTGGTTGAATGTTGACCTTTGAACCAGGAGGTCACGGTTCAATTCCTGGTCAGGGCACATGGGTTGTGGGCTCAATCCTCAGTGTGGGGCGTGCAGGAGGCAGCTGATCAGTGATTCTCTCTCATCATTGATGTTTCTATCTCTCTCCCTCTCCCTTCTTCTCTGAAGTCAATAAAAATATATTTTAAAAAACCGAAAAAACTAGGAAAAAAGTTAATAGGTGGTTGGAGTGTTGTCCTGATATGCCAAGGTTTCGGGTGTGATCTCTGGTTAAGGTACATACAGGAAGCAACCAATGAATGCATAAATTTCTCTTTCTCTCAAATCAATAAAAAATATTAATAGACAGAGGTCATTGAGTGGATGAAAGGTGTTTGGTTGTTGACTTATTTGGATAGGTAATTAATATATTGGTTATTTAATCTTAGCTAAAATGTTTTTTAACTTCTAAAAATATCTTTCTTTTTAGGTTGTTATGCAAAATGACAGTTATGATACTCTTTATGGTAAGGTTTCTTTTGTCACCTTTAAAATGATTATATTACAAAGCTTTTAATTTTTGAAAAGCTTGTTATTTAATTCTTCAGTGACATAATAATACTTGGAAAATGGTACATAGCTATATGAAATGTCATTTACTATAAAGTTTATTTGGATTTAATATCACAGATACCCATTTCACTGGTTGTGACTTTCATGTTGAATTTAAATGTCCTTTACATTTACTTTCAGTTTAGACATTGGTATATTTTCAAAAAGAAAAGGGGAATCCAAACTTTGGTTAATACAAATATTAGTTACATCTGCTTTGATCCAAAACTTATTTAACATTGCTGGTCAAAAGATTTAAGGTACTTAGTTTTTGAAGTGTAGGATTCTTGATCTCTTCTGTTGTCTCATTTTTCAGTCAATTGCTTAATTTTGTGATTATTCTTCTTTGTTTTTTGTAGGAAGTTTAACAAACTCTTTGAATATTCCTGAGTTTGAAGAATCTATGAAAGATTGTGAACAAGCTAGCTTCAATATGGATAATAACATAAAATTTTCTCTGTGGGTTTCTTTCTTTGAGATTTATAATGAGTATATTTATGACTTGTTTGTTCCTGTGTCATCCAAGTTTCAGAAGAGAAAGATGCTACGCCTTTCCCAAGATGTAAAGGGCTATTCTTTTATAAAAGGTATACTAATGGGTACTTATTATTTTATTGTTCTGAAGTAGCTTTTTAGGGTTTGTTATTAGCTATATGAAAGCAAACTGGAAATTGAAAAATTTATTACCAATTATTAACATCAAGATAATAAGGGAAGTTTATGCTCTGCAAATATGTTTTAGTATGCTAATTAAACCTGAATACAAAGGGGTTTATTTTAGTAAGTATTGTGTTTATTTGAGTATCATTGATTGAATTTTGAAAAATGGGAAAAGCTATTGATATTCACATTATTCTGTTGCTTTGTAATAGTGTCCAAACTTTGGGGATTTGGAAATGTTTTTGTTCTTCTACAGTGATATCTTTCCAACCTTTTAAACCACTACTCACAGTAGGAGATGCATACATATTAATAATATATGTATACAATATATTTACAACTCAGAAGTTTTATTATACTTACCCTTACTACAAGGAATGCACTTTGATGTTTTCTATATCCTACTTCCATTTTTATAAAATGCTATTTATGAATATAAGTAAATTTGATTTTATGATTCATTAATGACTTCTAACACAGCTAGGTAGTCTTGTAGGTTTAATATGTACTGTGTTTTGTTTTTCTTTTTTCTTTTCCCTGGATGTCTAATTCTAAGGAATCTTACCCGTTTTATTTATTTATTTTTTACTTTTTATTTTTTATATATATTTTTATTGATTTCAGAGAGGAAGGGAGAAGGGAGAGAGAGATAGAAATACACGATGAGAGAGAATCATTGATCGACTGCCTCCTGCATGCCCTGCACTGGGGATCGAGCTAGCAACTGGGGCATGTGCCCTGACTGGGAATCAAACTGTGACCTCCTGATTTCTAGGTCAACGCTCAACCATTGAGCCAGGCTGGCCTGGCTCTTACTCGATTTTAATTTTCCCTTTGGGTGACTTTGTAAAATAAGATTTACTTTGCATGTCTGTATAACTTAAATACTGGAAAGTTATTTAAATGTCCTTTCTTTATATACCTCTTTTCTAATGGAGCCACCTAGGGCATGTTATTAAAAGAAAGATTTCATTATATGTCTTTGGGAAAAGAGATTACAAATCCTCAATGAGATTACATTGTACAACAAATACTGGGTTTTTTAATTGACTAGAGGCCCAGTGCACGAAATTCATACATGGGTAGGGTCCCTAGGCCTGGCTGGCGATCAGGGCCGATCGGGGCCTTCCAGCTGCTGGCTGCTGGCTGCTGGCTGCCGGCTGGGGCCTTCCTTCATTCCACGCCACCCCCTGGTGGTCAGCATATGTCATAGCGAGCAATCGGTCTCCCAGTCGAACTCCCAGGGGGACAATTTGCATATTAGGCTTTTACATATATAGATATAGATATGTGTCCTATTTATTTTTTAAAGATCTACAATGGATTCAAGTCTCTGATTCCAAAGAAGCATATAGACTTTTAAAACTAGGAATAAAGCACCAGAGTGTTGCCTTCACAAAAATGAACAATGCTTCTAGTAGGAGGTAAGGAGTAAATCCTATGGTGTAAGCCTGAGGCACCCAGGTTATGCTAATGTAAATGCAACTAACTTAAGTTTAAAGTGGGCAGTAGGTTTTCTGATATGTTAAATGAGTTCATAGGCATAAAAACTGTAAAGAGTGCTAAACACATAAGATTATCAGGACTATTTCTTATTTTGACAAAGCATTTACTATATTTTTACTCTTTCTTTATATGATTAAGCTTAATATGTGAAGAGCTGCCTATAATGGAGGACTTTGTGTCTTTTCCAGTTAACCCATGAACACAAACATACTGTTAAGAGAGAATCTCAAGGCATTAAAAATATGATATTTTGTTTGAAGGAATTGGAGGGTGAGAGACAAAAGGAAATACTTTTAAGTAATGACATTTAAAACATGTCTTTTCTTAAGTGTAAAAGAGCCTTGACCCCTTAGATAAGCCCGTATTTTGGCCAAATATATGCTTTGCTTTAGGTATATACTTAAAGAAGATTAGCTGTACATAATACTACTTTAACTAATAATATGATCTTTGTAAGCAAATTGAGACTTTATTATAAATGATTTACATTAGTAGAAGTTGGAATGTTAAGAGGAGAAGGTTCAAGGGATTTGGAGCTAAATGGAAGGTAAGATATTTGGTTTTAGACACACAGGTATATAAGTGGCATATAAGTGGCAGTGGAACACTGAATTAAAATACCTGCAAGCTAGTTGGGAAATGCAATGCTAGAGGTATGGCTAGTATTAGGGTATAAGTAGATGTTGATTTAGATGCTTGTTTCTCATATTCAGAATGCAGAAATTAAAATGGAATATAACACTTGATCTTTGTATATTTCTTTTAGTCACAGCATATTCACTATTAGAATATTGCAGATTGAAGATTCTGAAACGCCTCGTGTATTGCGAGTCAGTGAGTAAGTTGAGCATTTTTGAAATTGTAATTATAAATATACTGGAGGCCCAGCGCACGATTAAATAGTGCGCGTGTAGGGTCCCCTAGGTCTAGCCTGCTATCAGGGCCATGTCCGCCGCCTGCCTCGCACGCTCTGCGGATGCTGCTGGCGCTTCCACGACGCTCTGGGGATGCTGCTGGCACACCCTGATCCTCCGCTGATGCTGCCGGTGCCCCAGGGGGAGGAGAGGAGGTGGTAGCGGGGAGGGCCTGAGAGGTGCTCCAGCACCTCCTGGTGACCGGTTATTTGGTTGTTTTGGCGTCACTACCACAGGCCTTTTATGCTATAGATGTATATACATATATATATATTTAAATATATATTTAAGGTATTTTTTTATTGATTTCATGGAGGAAGGGAGAGGGAGAAAGAGGTAGAAACATCAATGATGAGAATCATTGATTGGCTGCCTTCTGCATGGCCCCACTAAGGATCGAGCCCGCAACCCCAGCATGTGCCCTTCACCAGAATCGAACTTGGAACCCTCAGTCCAGAGGCTGACACTCTATCCACTGAGCCAAATCAGCTAGGGCTGTAATTATTTTTAATTGTTTTGAAGAACTTTTAAAGTTTGTTTTGTTTGTGTTTATTCAGATTGTCTTTATGTGATCTTGCTGGTTCAGAACGAAGTATGAAGACCCAGAATGAAGGTGAAAGGTTGAGAGAGACTGGGAACATCAACACGTCTTTATTGACTCTGGGAAAATGTATTAATGTTTTGAAGAACAGTGAAAAGTCAAAGTAAGTGTTGCTGAAAGTGTTATTAGCATATTAAGTGTTATATTTAAACTTTCAACTTCACTAGTTTTAGAAAGTTGTTCTTAACCTGTATGACTACATATAGATTATGATTAAAATACTCAGAGATTGCCCTGGCCTGTGTGGCTCCATTGGTGGGAGCATTGTCCTGTGCACTAAAGGGGGTGGGTCGGATCGCTGTCCCGGCATATGCCCAGATTGTGGGTTGGATAGCTGGTTGAGGTGTGTGCGGGAGATGGCTGGCCAATGTTTCTCTCTCACATCATTTCTCTCCTCCTCTCTAATATAAAAAATAAAATACTTGGAGATCTTGGGCTAAAAAAATTATAGAAATAAAAAAGCATCAATTCATGCCAGTGACTCCTCAAGTAACCACAATTTTTTTCATACTAAATATGTATCAATAGACATTTTGCACAGTACGCTTCTCTAAAATCATTTTATTCTTACTAGTGCATTGTATTATTCTAGATGTGATAGGTTTCTGTATTAATTAATCTTTTAGGCTGAGTAACTTCTAAATCAGCATTCATTATTTTGATCTAATCAAGGTGTTTCATGGCATATATTTATAATTGCTCTATATTAAAGAACACAATGCAGTGTTGTGTGGTTTTTTGTTTTGTATTTTAACATTTTACCCTAATGGGTTGTTTTTATGAGTAGTATTATTATTAATAGTAATTTAAAGAAAACAACATAAACAGAAAATGTTACACATAAAACTAATCACTAGCCTAGAATTAAGTCCATTATAGTTAGGTTGTCTATTTCTCTGTAAAATTTATCAGCATCCTGATTTAATGGGATTTGCTTTAACTTAAAATTATTTGAATTTTTTCCGTAGGTTTCAGCAGCATGTGCCTTTCCGGGAAAGTAAACTGACCCACTATTTTCAAAGTTTTTTTCATGGTAAAGGGAAAATATGTATGATTGTCAACATCAGCCAGTGTTGTTTTGCCTATGATGAAACACTCAATGTGTTGAAGTTCTCAGCCATTGCACAAAAAGTAAATATATTCATACTTCTATAGAACCTATTAAACCTCTTATTAGAATATTAATGATTTTTTTCTTAGGCTAGATAATTATTTTGCACTTATAACTGTAAACCTAAGAAATAATTGAAAATTAAAAATGTAAATGTTTGACCAAGTAGGAGGATGTGGGTGAAAATAAAAAAGTAACTCCTGCTAGGATTAAAATGACCTCAATAGTAAGTGTTAACTTAATCATAGGCACCTTTTACAAACTATGAGCACTGTTCTTGGAATGAATTGTCGGCTTTTCCATTCCGTTTCATTTAGTGACTCATTGGGTAGCTTCCTGCTAGGAATAGTACTAACAACCTAGTAAATTTACTTATAGTGTACATGTGTAATTAGCTTTTTTGTTATCAGAATGTTCATTTAAGGATGCTAATTCCTTCTTGAATATTTGTTTGTGTAGGTCTTATTTTAAACACTCTAGTTGTCATTTTACTTAATATTTATAAAATTATTTTTTAGTGGTCGGTTCTTGCCTTTTCTGTTTTAAATGTCACATTGGATATTTTAACAGGTTTGTGTTCCAGACACTTTAAATTCCTCTCAAGAGAAATCACTTGGACCTCTCAAATCTTCTCAAGATATGCCATCAGACAATAATTCAGATAATAAAATATTAAATGTAAAAAGATCTACGATTTCTTGGGAAAGTAGTCTGGAAGATCTGGTGGAAGATGAAGATTTGGTTGAGGATCTAGAAGTAGCTGAAGGAAACAAAAATGTGGAGACTGAACTTACTGATGAAGAGCTAGATAAAACATTAGAGGAAGACAAGGCTTCCATTAGCCATGAGGAGAAGAGAGTATGTATTAAGAACTTAAACTTCTAAGCTTGGCTTATTATTATTCTGAAGTTAGAGTCAATAATACTTAAGGCTCCCTCCTAATTTTTTCCAGTAGCACACTAAATTTTTGTATCTCAACTTTATATTTTGAAAAATTTCAAAACTACAAGAAGACTAGTACAATGACTACCCATTTACACTTCACCTGGATTTGCCATTTGTTAACATTTTACTATATTTACTTTAATTCTTTTTCTAAGAGTATTTGAATGCACATTTTTTTTCTCTGTAACATTTGAAAGCAAGATTCAGACATAATGATACCTTATATGTACTTCAGCATATATTTCTTAAGAACATGGATATTTTTTTTATGATGAGAGACCATTTTCATACCTAAGCAATTTAATACTGCTATAATAGTATAATCAATCTATTATATTGTCCACATTGAGATTTCTCCAGCGGTTCCAATATGTCTTTTATAGCCACTTTGTATTTTTAATTATTCTAATATAATATAGCATAGATATTTTTAAAAAGTTGAGCTCAATTTAGAATACCCCCAATCTGGATTTGTCTGATTATTTCCTCATGATCCGGTTTGATACTTTGGGCAAATCTGTTATATAGGTGAAGTTGTGAAATTTCCATTGCATCGCATCAGGAGACATGTGATGTTTGATTTCCCCATTCTTGGTGATGCTAATTTTTTTAGTACATTTTATTTGATTTCAGAGAGGAAGGGAGAGGGAGAAAGACAGAGAAACATCAATGATGAGGGAGAATCATTGATCAGCTGCCTACTGCACGTCCCCTATTCGGGATCGAACCCATATCCCTGGCATGTGTCCTTGACCAGAATCGAACCTGGGACCCTTCAGTCAGCAGGCCAACACTAGCCACTGAACCAAACCACCTAGGGCAGTGATTGCGAACCTATGACACGCGTGTCAGAAGTGACATGCGAACTCATTTTTTTGGTTGATTTTTCTTTGTTAAATGGCATTTAAATATATAAAATAAATCAAAAATATAAGTCTTTGTTTTACTATGGTTGCAAATATCAAAAAATTTCTATATGTGACACAGCACCAGAGTTAAGTTAGGGTTTTTCAAAATGCTGACATGCCGAGCTCAAAAGGTTCGCCATCACTGACCTAGGGCATGATACTAAGTTTTGCTCACTTGCTTAAGGTACCGTGTTTCAGATCTCTTCATTGTAGAAGCATGTCATCTGTGACATGCACACTTTGAAACCGTGAGCATACCTTGTTCCCCAGTATCTTTTTACGCAATGATTTTAGCGTACTCCTTCCAACTTCTACTTTGCAGTCTTAAGTACAGATGCTCAAAATGTCTACCTAGTATCAATTATTCTATTCAAAAACCTGAATTACTTGATTCTCTTATATTTATGGTAAATAAGGTTTATCTTTAATAGCCTTTGTCCAAATACAGTAACCTGTGTTCATGGGTGTGCTTTAATGGTGTTAACACATCTCACATCATAGTACTTTTTTGGGGTGTAGAAGTCCAAGTAGATGGACAATATAATGTGTTAAATACTCGTTTTAATAATTTACTTCAGTGTCCTTGAAAGTCATCCTTGCACCTATTTTGGAATTGGGAATGAAGACTGCAGATGCTACTGGTTCCAGTTTCTCTGGTCACTATGTGATTGGACCTCACTTGTCTTGAGTTTCTGTAATGTAGTATTTCCCTGTGATAAAAGAAGCCATTAATAGTCTTATTTTAGTTTGTAGTAATTTATTATTATTGTTGTTATTATTATTATTTTCAGAGAGAGAAAGGAGAGAAGAGATAGAAACATCAATGATGAGAATCATTGATTGGCCTCCTCCTGCATGCCCTCTATTGGGGATTGAGCCCGCAACCCAGGCATGTTCCTAATATTTGAAGCATCCCACTTGATTTTTCAAATACTGAATCTGCAAAGAAATAATTTCCAGTGTGAATATGATTACTGCTAAAAGGATGCATAATCATAATTGACTACATGAAAAGAGTTTTATTTTAAACACTTGGACAATATTTCTCTTGGGATATATTTTACTAGAATTTTAATATTTATATGTTTTAGAAACTGTTGGACTTAATAGAAGACTTGAAAACAAAGCTAATAAATGAAAAGAAAGAAAAATTAACATTGGAATTTAGAATTCGTGAAGAAGTTACACAGGAGTTTACTCAATATTTGGCTCAACGGGAAGCTGACTTTAAGTAAGTTATTTCTTCCATGTCCTGGTAAAAATTGAGAATTTTATTCACTTGTTTAATTTTTTATTTTTATTTTCATTTTTTTTTACTAATTTTATATTAGGTGGCTTCTGAATTCTCACCTTTATAGTTTTGAAAAATAGCTGTTACTAAACTCCATGATGATTCTGAATTACACATGAATAATTACTTAAATCTGCTTTTAATTTATAATGTCTTTAATCTTAGAAATTTAAAACAAAAACACAAAGTAGGGCTTTTTGGTTTTTCAATGGAATTCATTTGTGTTATGCAGGGAAACACTCCTTCAGGAACGAGAGATATCAGAAGAAAATGCCGAATGTCGTTTGGCTATCTTCAAGGATTTGGTTGGTAAAACTGACACTCAAGAAGAACCAGTAAATCAAGATTGTGCCATGAAAGTTGAAGCCAAAGTATGTTAACTGAAATATTAAAGTATTGAGGATTTTGGTACCAGGATTTAGTGTACCACATCAATGATGTGAAACATTAGTATAGTTTAGAATTAAAAACTTACTGTATAGCTTTTTAAAATTAAATATTCTTTGTTAGAAATATAAGGACACATCGTTTAACTATAGCTGTTGGAGTTGAAAAATTTGTATATCTGTTATATTTATATCTCATTTTGGTGTTGCTTATAGGTAGGTAGGTTCCTTTTTGTCTGATTATGGGGTACCCCTCAGATTTGTCTTAAACTGAAAGAATTTTAAAGTTATACAGAGCCTAATGGTTCATTTACTTACTGCTCTGATTAAAACAAAAACATTTATGTATAAAAAGGATTGCTCTTGCTAGCCAGCCAACCATTCCTTACTATTTGAAGAAAACATTATTCTTTTCTGCTGTTTCCACTGAAGCTGAAATTGATCACATCCCTTTGGGGTTTTTGTTGTTGTTGTTGTTATTTTATTTTTTATTGATGATTTTAGAGACAGGAAGGAGGAGAGAGAGAAAAACATCGATCTGAGAGAGAAACATTGATCGGCTGCCTCATGCGCCTGAGCTGAAATTGAACCCACCATCTTTTGGTGTACGGGACGATGTTCCAACTGAGCCACCCAGCTAGGGCTTGTTTTATTTAATTACTCAATCTGGGGGCTTGTGTTCATGATGTCCAGGCTTTTGCTGTCAAAGCAGCATTATGTCTCCCTGACATGGTTTGGGTCTTGGTCTAAGCTGGGAAAATGGAGCTTTGTGTTCTCAGTTGTCCCACAAAACCTGTAAGACTCATTGTGTAACTGAAAGTACACCTGACCTAGATAATCATAATTGTTCTGTAATGACTTACCACAGTTTGCAACATTGTTTGAATGGGGATCTGTGTCTCATATTCCATAAGACAGAAAATGAATAATAGAATACAACTTTTTCATAATTGGAGATACCTGATATAATTTATTTAAAAAAATTTCAAGTTGTTAATTCTTTTGTTATATTTTTTAAACTGTCTAATAAATCAGATGGTATCTCACTGTAAGAGTGAAAGCCACTGTTAACATAGGCATGTGGTTTTTGCTATTTTTAGGAAGCACATACTTACTTAGGAATTGAAGATATTATTGATTCTCTTCAAGATGATGTCACTGATATTAAGAAACAGGCTGAAATAGCTCACTTATATATTACATCTCTTGCTGACCCCCAGGAAGCTATTGCTTGTTTAGAAATAAAGTATAATCAAGTTAAAGCTGAATTAGCTAAAACTAAAGAAGAATTAATCAAAACCCAGGAAGAGTTAAAAAAGAGAGAAAATGGTAAGTAGATGTATTTTACTCTTAATTTGGATGATATAAATGCATAAAAAGACAACTGGTTAATATAAGAGATTTTTTTGTTTTTAAATCCTTACTGGATGACATGTTTATTGATTTTAGAGAGAGAAGAAGAGAAAGAGAGAGAAACAAAAACATCAATGTGAGAGAGAAACATTGATCAGTTGCCTTCCATATGCGCCCCAACCAGGATTGAACTTGAAGTCTAGGTATTGCCTGGACCAGAAACTGAACCCACAGCCTTTTTGGTGTCCGGGATGACGTTCCAACCAACCAAGCCACCCAGCTGGGACAGTATAAGAGATTTAGGCAACTTATTTACCATTGTGACCAGAAAATTATGTGATTTGGGTAACATAGGTAATATTTTAACTTTTTTATGGCTTTATAATAATTTACTATTAAATTTATTTTTGCTTTTATTTGCTTTTAGACTAATATTAGAAAATAGACTTCTTAAAATAAAAGAACTAAGTATTAGCTTCATCAGCAAATTAAGAAATCTCATGGCAAGTTGTAAAGTTGTAAATGTGTTCTTTATTCTTTATGAACTCTTCTGTATTTTTATTTTTTTATTGATTTCAGAGAGGAACGGAGAGGGAGAGAGTGATAGAAATATCAATGATGAGAGAGAATCATTGATCAGCTGCCTCCTACATGCCCCACATTGGGGACTGAGCCTAAAACCCTGGGCTGACCGGAATCGAACCTGGGACCTTTCTGTCCACAGGCTGACGCTCTATCCACTGAGCAAAACGAGCCAGGGCAACTCTTCTGTATTCTTAATGAACTCATACAGTAGTAGATTCTACTCTTGGCTTGCAAGTTTGGGATAGAGTGACTCCTCTGAATGGTCTTAAGAAGTCTATGTGATGCTTCATTCTAGTTCTGATCATCATATCTGGGTTTTAAGAGCATTAGTTAGATGAAATACTCTGCTCTTTCCCCTGAAACAAGATTGTAGAAAATAGCAGGTAAGCCCGGCCAGTGTGGCTCAGTTGGTTGAGTGCTATCCCATGAACCATGAGGTTGTGGGTTTGATTCCTGGTCAGGGCATATGCCTGGGTTTTGGGCTTGAAGCAGCTGATCCAGGTTTCTCTCTCATATATGTTTCTGTCTCTCCCTTTTCCTTCCTCTCTCTGAAATCAATAAAAACATATTTAAAAAAAAAAAAGAAAGAATGGAAATAGCAGGTAAGTTGTGCTTCTACATTATAAAACAGTCCAGAAAGGAACTAGCTTCTTGTCTTCTCTGAAGTTATGCCAGAAATTTTTTACTATTTAGCATATGTCATTCATTTTTATTCTGAGTGTTTAAAGTAGCTTTTCCAGAAACATTATCCTCTGGTGATAGAATTAATAGCTGAATGCTGTGCTTCTGGTGCTTTCAAAATCCTTTTTTCTAAATATAACACTAGTTGAAGTGTCTACTGTAACAGCTTCTGTTTTGTGATTATTCAGTGATAATTTTTTTTTAGGTGCTTAATTGTTTGTTCAATAATTTTATTTTTTACAGAATCAGAAATTAACTTGAATTCATTGGTTCAAGAGCTTGAGAAATCTAATGAGGTAATACTTTAAGCTTTATTTTTATCTTGATAAGAAACTTGATAAGTAATTGAAGGGACATGAATTATAACAAGGTACATTTATTTTAAACATAAAATAATAAATTAATTGATCGAAGAAATTGAAAAATATGTGTCTTCACCTTCATACCCCTTTTCAGCGATGGCCACTGGGAAGCTTCTTCAGACCTTCCAGAAAATATTTACTTATCTATATAGAACACATACACACGTACATACACCTGTTAAAAAGTTTATACTAGCCAAACCGGTTTTGCTCAGTGGATAGAGCGTCGGCCTGCGGACTGAAGGGTCCCAGGTTCGATTCCGGTCAAGGGCATGTACCTGGGTTGCGGGCACATCCCCAGTAGGGAGCGTGCAGGAGGCAGCTGATCGATCTCTCTCATCGATGTTTCTAACTCTCTGTCCCTCTCCCTTCTTCTCTATAAAAAAATGAATAAAATATTTAAAAAAAAAAAGTTTATACTAAAGGGATTGTTGTTCCGTGTCTTCCCTTAAAAGTTGTCTTGGACATATCTGTGTCATTTTTTTTCAAGCTAGGTGCATGGTGATGATTTAAACTGTTTATTTTGTCTGAAATTACTGAGTGTTTTAAATTATGGGATATGGCGCAGGTGGTGTGGCTCAGTGGTTGAGCAACCTATGAATCAGGAGGTCTCAGTTCAATTCCCAGTCAGGGAACATGCCTGGGTTGTGGGCTCGATCTCCAGTTTGGGGCATGCGGGAGGCAGCCGATCAATGCTTCTTTCTAATCATTGATGTTTCTATTGCTCTCTTCCTCTCCCTTCCTCTCTGAAATCAATAAAAGTATATTTTAAAAAAAACAACTATAGGATATGGCCTGAGCAGTGTGCAGCATTGGAATTCTGAAGATCTCTGGCACCTTTAGATCAGATAACCATTCCAAATGGTTGTGTATATTTTTGACATTGATAGATCTAAATATGAAATTACAAGTATACATGGAGGTGAAGTTAATTTAGAGCTCTAAAGTTACTATGTTTCCTGACCTTCTCTGGCATGAGTCTTCTTATTTTAACTTACATTCATCCTATTGAAGAACTAAATATTTTAGGATATGACCAGATATAGATAACTCAGGGTCTTCGTATCTAATATCTATATTTAAAGAAGTAACCACAATAATGTAGCAGAAGACATTATAGCTACTGTTTAGACAACAACTAAACTTTTATTTTTCTAGCTATAAAAATAATAGATGCTAGTTCTAAAAATTTAGTTATATTGAACTATGCAAGATAGAAAATAAAAAAGGTCCCCCGTAATCTTTCTCCTAAATTACAAAAAAGAGAGAATACCAATAAGTTCGTTGGTATCTCTTTTAGACTTGTGCTTTACATATATTCATTTAAATCTCAAAAGAACTTTATGATATAGATACTGTTATTTTTTATTTTTACAGAGACATTAAATAACTTACCCAGGGTCCCCCCACTAGAAGGTAGAGAAACTAGGATACAAACCCAGAGAGTCTGATTACAGATTCCTCTTACCTAGTAGGCTATATTCTTTCCTTTGTTTTTATAAACACTTTATTTTCATTTATTTATTTATCTTTAGAGAGAGAGGAAGGGAGAGAAAGAAACATCGATATGAGAGAGATATATCAATTGGTTGCCTCCCATACACACAGCTTGGGATTGAACCCACAACCTATATATGTGCTCTGACTGAGAATCGAAACTATGACTGGTGCATGGAATAAACCTCCAACTAACTGAGCCATATGGGCCAAGGCTAAACATATTATGTTTGAAACAAAAATAAGGTCATGCTGTACATAGTGTGTGGTCTTTGGTATTTTTGCTCAGTCTTTAAATTTGAAGGAATTCTAAAACTGCATTGTATTTTATCCTAAAATATATTTGCTAACCATTGCTATTTTTCTTCTTTTCAAAGAAAATAATTATTCAGAATCAAAGAATTCAAGAGTTGCAAGATTTAGTTAATCAAAAAGAGGATACTATTAACAACTTTGAGAACCTAAAATTTCATGTGGAAGACACATTTAAAAGCAGTGTAAGAATTTTACTTTATTCTTCTGCATTATAGATTACATTAAGAAGTATGTTTTGGTTGAGACTAAAATAATTTAAAATAGCTTAAATAAGCTAATTTTCTAAGAATGTTTAATTGTTTATTCTGGTTTTGAATTCAATTTACTATTGTGAAAATCTTAATTTTTTGAGTACTTCAAAGAGGGCATTTGGCCTCTTTGAACATAAGTAGAAGAAAATGAGATGAGAAGAATTTGTAGTCCTTGCAGGTCTAAGCCTCAGCTAGTTGGAAGGGGCCTTTGGGGTAATAGGAACTTCGATATGCTTAGATATCCAGAGAGCATAAAGATCCCGATCTCTTTTCTATAACCTATCTGTATCTATATATAGAACCATACATGAAATGGTTTGGTTATTTACCACATACTTTTGCTCTAATCACTTGATTTGAATTTTGAGTCTTCTGTTTGTTTTGGTGAAGGAAAACAAGAAAAAAAAAAGCCAGAAATATCATTTTGGTGACTACAACTTCAAAGAAAATTGTTGGAAATTTAACAAGGAATAACGTTTATTTATTTATTTATTTATTTATTTATTTTTTAAT